GCTGTTTTTAGATCTTTCAGAAATTTTCAGAAGACCCCTCAAGTATAAAAATCTCCTGGCATAATGAACATCTCAGTATTATTTTTTCCATCTTCCTTATAACATATTTTCTCTGAGGGCTGTAAGATCATTGACAGAAGTTGATAGGAGAAAATATCTCAAGTTTTGGTAACAGGAGAAATACCCTTCGTATCACCCGTATGTTCTCCAGCGAGATGTAATTTGGGGTAGGAGCAGTTTGCTGAGGTCTGTAACTCAGCAAGGCCTGAGGTTGGCGTTCCTGGAACAAGGATTTACTTTATGGGCACCTCTTCGTTTCCCTTTCCTTGGCTTTATGAGCCTCTCCTGGTTGAAACGTGGACATTGGAGCCTCAGGAGAATTGTCACCTCGTCCCCAGCTGAACCTGGGACCTGCCATTTCCAAGAAGCAGCATGTGTGGGGCACTCAGAGGGACCTCCACAGTGTGTGGTCTCCAAAGACACAGGCAACACCTGGATGTTGCTTCCCAAACCTTGCAGAAAACAAAAAAAATATCATTACTGGTTTCACTTGCCTAATCTTGACTATCTGTAAAGCCTCAAATCCGGTAGTTTCTTACAAGAGCACCCAGGTTCCCATCTTGCAGGTGCAGAAGCAGAGGCGGGAAGGGACTCGCCGGCTTTTCCGCTGCAGCTCCCTGGAGCGCAGGAGCCTTCGGGACGCCGCTGCGGTGCCCCATCCTCGAGGCGCTGCCCTATCTGCTCACTTTCCCGGCCAAGAGTCGGGTAACAGCCTTGGTAGGACCCAAAAGAGCAAGAACATCTACACTTCAACACGCACGCGGTGGTAAGTCCGGCGAGCCGAAAAGGGAGGATTTCCCGTGCTATGAGGAGATTGCGTTACCACCTATCACACACATACAGCGAATTAGCAAGAGTTGACTTTCAGACCGATGTTTTTTCTTGCTCCTCATGCCTAACCGAAGCAGTTTGCTCATATGGGATCAGCAACCCAATAACAGAGAGGGACGGACACGTGTCACGATCCACGCGCACTCGGATGGGCACCACACGGGGCATTTCCATGCAGGGAAGTCATTCCAGTTACCCTGGGCGCAGCAGGAAGCCGTCCTCTTCACAAACACCTTTTTTTCATTACTGGAGATGTATTTCTGAGATGAGAAATGATGTTTCTTCTAATTAATGTTACATGTAGCTAATTTCCTTTTCTAAAAGCTCGGTGTGAAAGGAATTTCCTTTAAAAGGAAGGGGAAAAAAGAAAAAAAAAAAAGGAAAGGGAAGAAAGAAGTGATATATCTGATGTTCCTGTTTCCTTAGCAACAGATTTATTTATTAGGGCCTGCAATGACATGAGTTAATATACCACATACCTGCTGATCGGCAAACTCTCCTATTTCAGCTCCAGTTGACAATTAAGTCCTGGACAGCTACAGCCAGGGGTTAATGTTACTCATTAGGAGAACTAGGTCATTACTGGGAAATCAAGGCACTTAAGGCAGCATGGATAAAATTCAAAATTCAACATCTCAAGGAGTGAGGGGTTTTATGTTAATTAACCTTATTTTCCTTTCATTAAAAAAAAATCTTTCATATATGCATATGACAGTAGATCAATTAATTAAAAAAAAAAGTAAGCTTTAGTTTACTTTCCTCTCCTAGTTGTCTTCATTTCCTTTGGAAGGGTTTCATTATTTTATGGAAAATTCTTATGTCTATATGATGAGTAAAAAGGGTATTAAAATTAAGAAGGGAATCATCATGGAAATCAGCTTTACCACAAGGGAATGAGCAAATAAAAGCCTTGGAAATGAAAATAAATAAGCTTTGCTAATACCTCACCTAAGGAGCAGAATATAAGCCCATCAGAGCTTGGAGATATTTAGAGGTACTTCTTTGCTTCTTTATTAAGCAGTTACATAGTTATTTGACCTTCAGAAACTGAAACTTTAGAGAACTAAATACAAGTTGTTGGTAAATATTCTGTTTACAGAAATCCGCTTGGTGCTGTAGCACACAGTGACTCCTGCAGTTGGTAATGGGCTTCTGATTTCTAATAAAATGAAATATATTCTCTGAAAGTTTTATTATGATATCTGAGGTGGAGTTTTAACTTGATAAGTCTTAAGTGATTTAATAAAGCTTTCCTGAAAGCATTTATTTACTAAATTTTATCAGACTTTATTCTGATAGTGGAGAACTTAATAGGCTACAAAGGAATTGTATTTAAATGAACTTCCTCTTTTAGTCACTTCTCTTTCAAATATGTTCAGTTCTTTCACTTCTACTAAATACTCTACTTTCTTTTCCCTGTTTGAGCTGTGTGACCCAACCCTGCTCCTAGTTGCGTTTGGATGAATTTGGTGTAAACTCTGCTGCTGCTCTCTAAAGTCAAGGATAAAGCAGTATTTTACCTGAGGTGCATGCAGGAAACAAGGTTCCCAAATTTTAAGACCACTGTTTTCCATTAAAAAAAAAAAAAGAGCCTGTGAGAGGTTTGGAGCTTGTGGTGACATTGCAGTCTAAAACACTCTGCAGCTTTGGACCACTCCATTTCCAAAGCGACCTTCTTTCGACCAGAAATGGGTCACAGAAGTGTGTTGTATCAGGAGCTCTGGAGCTTGCGGAATGGAGCCTAACGTAGCCCTGATGTTGGGACGTTTGGGGGCATTTTCCTTCATTTGATGGGTGTAGGGGTTACTCACTGCAGGTCCACACGGCGGTCGGTGGAGATGGTGGGGGACGTGTGTGTCTATGTGTGACTATCCAGAAGCTGCATCACCTGGAATTTTGAGTTTATTTTAAAGCGTGGAATAGGTGTATCACAGTTTGCCATGAAAGCTCTAGTGGGCCTGGCTGCACCTTGTTCCATAAAGGGAGACTCCGTTCTTGGTGTCTTCCTTCTCTGGGGCAGCAATTGCAAAATCCAAAACCCATCTCTTTGAGCAGAAATGTATGTGAATCTTATTGCATTCATCTCTTCCTCAATGTTTCAACCTTTCAGGTTATCCTCTGTGCTTTTCCATACCATGTTGGTTCCTGTTGGCTCCTAAAGCCCTCTTGGCCAACGTGAATGTCTTGTCTTCATGGTTTCTCCTACTTTCGAGTCTTCAGTGACCGTGTACAAAGAGAAATCTTTCAAAGGCTCCTAACTTGGTTATATTTGTAGGAGGTTTCACAAGGTATGTCCAGGTCTGGCCAGATACACAGTTCTCTCTCTGAAACAGAGACTTATTTGAAATTGAACATATGCAAGGTACAGGATTTGGTTTCACTGTGTAACGGGATATTTCAAATCTCGCTCTTTGGATATTCTGAAAACTTTTGGCAGTTTTTTTCCAGATGAAAAATTTCCCTTCTTTTCCACCCTCACTCTCCCTTTTCTCCATGTTTTCAGCATTTTTTTTTCTCCCTTTGTCTTATTATTCTGCTTTTTCTCAATGGCAGCTGTGGGAAAACTGAGTCAAAGAAATGAGTTCATTCGTTATTTTGAAAGCGAGGAGATGTGTAGTTATTTTAATCTCTTTGAATAATGGGTTTCAAGCCTTGGTCTTGGTGCCAAGAAAAGTTCCTGCTTAGGAGCTTCTTCCTTGGAGATGACAGCTTCATGAATCCAAAACGGATGAGTTATCTTAGGTACCCTGGCTAATTCCGCTCAGGGAGGATCACAAATTCCTTTTTGTGATCCAGGCAGTGGAGTTGCCGTATTAAATAGTCATAGTTTGGTCTAGGATGTATCTCCACTGCAGAAATCGTGGTGGGATGGACAGCATCAGTCTGCAGGGTCTTCAACAGTGACGTTCTCCGTCAACACGTAGCAATGTAGGTTTTATGTAGTAATTTCTGTTCAATTCTTCTTCTGTTCTTCTGAGGAACCACCTGAATACCAAAAGTAGGTTACTATCCACTTACATCCATATTCTTACACATCCATTATTACCACGAGATGATTTTTTCATAGTATGTTGAATTGCAATGGGCTGTATTGTATATGGTTATCAGAGCCCTCGGGGTCACTCCGATGTTTTATCTTTCCTCCCACTACTCCTCACAATGAGGCACCATTTCATTATGCTACGGCTGGAAATGGAAGTTCGTTTTGATTTTCTAAGAAGCTTTTGGGGGGGAGTCCGTAAGAGTCACTGGATTGCTTTAGAAATTCAACTAAAAGGATTTTCACGTGAGTCCTGCTCTATTACACTTGTGAAAGGCTGGATTTGCTAGGTTGAAGTAAAAGAAATGAGCAGGCATCCGAATCAAAGTGCATTGATTTTTACGCCAAGGTAACTGAGACCAAATGCAGGTTTTTTTGTCTTGAAAGGTTAATCTCTCTTTAGGAAGTAAGCAGAGGGCTCCATGACTGATGCTGATCCTGAGGTTTCTTTGGTTAGGGAATGTGCAATATTTTATTTTGAGTTTTTTCTTTATGAATTGTGAGAGGAGGAGAAGAAGGATCTAAACAATAAACTCCCAAGGTTCTTTTTTTATGAATCTCTTCTAGATAGCACAAGATAGGGGAAAATGCTTTCCCAGCGCAAAGCAAAATGCCACCCATTTTTCTCAGGCCAGCAATTTGAAAAATCAGAAGGTAAAATACACACTCCTCACTGTAAATATATCACGGGCTATAATAGAAAATAAAACACAATATTTGCTGTACTGTTTTGCTGCTTTTTGCCTCTCTAGGGCCATTTTCGAATTCTTGTCTCACTCAGGTATATCACAGGCATGGGCAAAGGCCTTTCTTGGCTTGCAAAACCTCCAGATTTCTGCCTAGAATTTATTCTGTAGGCTCCTTTATTCAGTGACACATTATTCAGTGACACTTTCTCTCTCGTTGACTGCATTTTTTATTAGCTGACAGGGTATTGTGGCAACTTTTGATGCTGATGATGCCAGACAATGTTTAGAGGCACAATTGCAGCAAAGACATTTTATGAGCACATCAGCTGAAGAAAACTCTTTGGACTTAACTACATAGTTGCAATCTACCTCACTTTGGAAATGGAAAAAGATGAGAAACTAATGTAATTGAAAAAATGGAAAGTAATTAACTTTCCCTTCATGTTTGCTTTTTTTTTCAGTTATTTCTTTCCTCTCCAGTTTCTTTTCTATTAGCTCTTTCCTGGCAGTGGCATTTCCCCTCTTGCAGTTATCATGAGCATTTTTATTAGAAACTCAGGTTTAAAATTTTACCTTTGTCTTTTTTTTTTTTTTAGTTTTAACATATATTGAAACGATGTGATGTAGGCAAGTGCCTTCCTGTTCCCTGAAAATAATTATTACCAGAATATATTTCATTGACTACGTTGAGCAGGTCCGTACCATGAGGCCTCTTACTTTAAGAAGCATATTATCTTCCTGAAGTATTTCCTGGCTCTGGTCCTCACCACGTTCCCATAAGGGGAAGCTCCCGCAAGGCTGTATCTTGCAGATGGGGAAACCTGGGCAGAGCAGTCTCCTGGGAAATCAGTGGCAGAAAAAGATCAGAACTTGGCATTTCTCTATTTTTAAGCCCGTGCTTATTTTGTGTGCACGAGGCTGCTACTTTCTAACATTATTAGATTATGATAAACCTAAATTCACAAGTTGATGGGCTTCGTATTTAGCATAAAATATCCGAGTGAAATGCATTAACTGGTGAAATGCAGTGAGCAATGACAGAATTGCAGGTATTTGTCCTCAGGCTTGAGCATGCATTGGAGAATTGCACTATTTTTTGCTGCTGTGATCTTCTTGAGAGTGCCCAGGCCAGGCAGGAGGACAGCAGGAGGTTGGTGTCATGTAGCTCATCTTACCAGCCTGTGTCCCAAGAGCTTCCAAGCTGCCTCCATTGCCCTCCTTGTCTCCAAAGGTGGTGCAATGGGAAGCCTGAATTTCGTTCCTCTTTCCCCACTGATTTGCAAACTGATGCTTGTCATCACCTGGCTCCCTGTGACCTGGAAATAATACTTCTCTACCCTGCTCTGGATTTTTTACTTACTATGGTGTAGAAAATGTGCCGCATTGCTTGGATTTAAGGCACTATAAAATGTGAGGCATCACATTTTTTGCCCTGACAATTTTGAATTCTCTGCCGCTGGAACACTGGAAATCTCCTTTGCTAAATGTCTTAAGAAGATTAAGATTGACCCTTTTAATATTGCTTTTAGCTGCATTTATTTGTAACCCTTTCAAAATGTGTAGCACCTTGAGAGGTGGCATGGCAGGACTGCTGTTATCACAGTCATTACATATTTATGTGTTGGGTTTTTTCCTAAAATATTAGGACTTCCTCCCCTAGTTTAGCACTTTCATGTAACAGATTAACTCACATAAGCCATAGTTTTTAAACTTACTTGCTTTTTTTAAAAAAAAAAAAAAAAGACTGGATTTATTCTGGCTGAGCATTTTATTTGAGCACATCGTATCTCTTTTGCATTTCTCTTACCATTCCAAGCTGCAGAGCTATCTGTGGCTTTCTCATCCAAATAACTGGGATTGCCACCAAAAATGATCAGCTTTATATATACACCTTAGAAATTTATTCTTAATTCACATAAAAGCATATGGGTCTCTTGCTGAATTTTGCCCAGATGCAGGAGATAAATATGTACTGAATACTGTAAAGGGCCAAATTTACCTTTTTTCCACCACTAGTAGGCACTTACTTGCATGTAGCCAGCTCTGTCTGCGCTCTTCTTCCAGGATGGGCTCAGGCTAAGCTCAAAAAAGCCCTGAATATCCGAAAAAACTCTTGCCATCCATGTGATGCAGAGTTCATGCTACAAGTTTCCCATTCTCCATTTGATTTCATTCCCATCACAATGGAAATAAGCCAGAAAACGTTGTCTGAGACTGCAAAAAGAAGACCCCATAAGGAAGGATGGAGAACAAGGAGATCCACGTTGCCACAGACCAGAACATTGCAACGTTAGCACACATAATAATAAATTCTTGAATAAACCTGGGCAAAAAAATTCTAGTACACAACATTATGGTACTGAGACATCAACACAGCGAATAGCTCTAATGGCAGCGCTTCCAGATCCACATATAGGGATGGATGAGAAGCATGTGTTGCCCATGGACATTTTGTGGTGATTTCATTATTCTGCTTTTTGCCTATGGTGAATTTAGAATGCATTCATACCATGCCCAGTTTTCCCTTTACCAGGTGAATATTAAATCAGGGAAAAAATACAAATATCTAAACAGCAAAAACAGACCCTAAAATCACATTAACTTATTTTTTACCCTTCCAAACAAGTAATACTTTTGAAGAAAAGTTTGCATTTTGCTATCAGGCTTTTCTGCAGCTCTCCTCCAGGAAATGGAGTATATATAATTAATACTCTTTAATAAAGCTCAAAAATGCAACAGATGCAGGCAAAAGTGCACGTCATTTTGAGCAGATCTTTGCAGAACAGACATTGCATATTGTGTTCATCTTTTTCCACGATCACTGCTATGACAATCTGGTGTGTTTAGCAGTTGTTGCTGAGTAAGGCAGACTGGATTGTATTTGATTTTCTCCATGTCAGCCGAGAAACACAGCACTCTGGTGCAGGAGAGAGGCCCTCGTGCTCGTTATTCTCGCTACCAGGAAAGGCTACACCGTTATTAATTTACAAGTATAATAATGCATTGCAATCTGGAGGTGCACGTGCCAGGAGCTTTCAGTAAGTCCCGCAAAAAAAATGGCTAAAAATAAGATACTTGTGCCTGGGAGAGTCCTAGGAACTGGCAAATGGAACTGCATAAACTCCCGAGCGGAAAAGCTATGGGATTCACATATTTTGTCACTAAAACCTATGGACATCGTTGCTATCTTATAAAAGCAAAGGGTTTTAAAAGGGAGCACGAACGGAGGATCACCTCCTGGAGAAGCCAGGCTCCAGCACAGCGGAAACGTTTCCCCTTCCAGCATTCCTTCTGGGTGCCAAATTTTCCTTCTGTTCTTCCCCACCTATTAAACAAAGCTGCAACTTCCAATTCCTGTCGGTTTCTCCGAAATCTGTGCAGCGTATGTGGTTCCCCTGGCAGCTCCGGGCCGGGGCGGCTCCAGCAGCAGCCTCCACTTTTGGCTGCCTCCAGGACCCCCGGTCGCCCCTGGAAAGCAGCAGGGGAAGCGGATCCGGTTCTGGAAGGACTTTTTGTTGCGGCTTTTCCAAATCTTCCAAGGATTTGGAAGGAGCTGTGCGGGGAGCTTGGTGGATGTGGCTGCCGTGTTGGTGGCACGTCACCTAACTGACCCTTCCTAAAACACCCCAAAAACGCTGCCAGGGAGGGAAACTGGGGCTAACCTTGCAGTGAGTTACACGGTTCTCTGCAAGGCAGCAGTTTTCCTTAGAAACCTTCTCCTTTCTGCTGTAGACCCCCGAGTCCATTCTGGCTCCTTCCAGATGGATGTTTGGGCAGCACCAGCACGTTGCAAACACGCCGATACCTCCCGCTCACCCGCAGAAGCAGGTGGATGCTTAAATCACGAGGTGGCCAGCAAACTGGGGAGAGTTTTGGGGTCTTTGCAGCAGAAATCCGCTCGCCGAGTCAATATTATCCACTTTTGTTATTGGAACCACCGTGAAGGCTCCTGGTTCACAGATGTGAACCAAATTAAGAAGCTTATGCTGTTGCATTCCTCTTTATTACCGGGAACAAAACAAATCTGGGAGATACAGACCCTCTTAAAGTAATTATTGTCTGGCTTTTATTTAAAAAAATGCAGCTAATTCCAAAAACTCTACAGTTCCTGAAGGTTTTTTCAACCTACAAAAGTCACGTTAATTATAAGATTAATTTGTTTTAATTCCCTAAGCAAAAAATATTGACTGGATGAGAAATTAGCACATGTAGAGCTGCAGATGTCATTTGGCCTCAGATTTCCTGAACGATAAATACAATTGTTAAATATCTTCCATATAGCTCTGTGACAAACCCTCAGATTCATGGGATGAAATCAGACTGTGAAGAAGCCACCAGGAGAGCCAGGCTATCAATTTGCCATAATGCAAGAAGGAAAACAGGGGAATCTTCTAAGAAATAAATAAAAACAAAATCTTTTAAAGACATCTGGTCCACATGTGTCTGAAATAATGCAGTAATTTAAAGCACAGTAATTAAATGCAAGAAAAACAGAAATTTCACCTTGGAGCAGGGGAAGTAACTCATTGCAGTTTTAATATCATTTCCCAATTTCTGGAAATTTAGTTTATCTGTGGTATCTTTTTAACCTTTCATTTTGCCCTAATAAAGAAAATAGACTAATAAATAGGTTTTTCGTTCCTTTCTAGATGTAGAATGTAATACCTTTAATGTTATCCTCAGCTGAAACTATAAATATATGCATCTTTTTTATCTACTGCTTTAACTCCCAGCTAGCTCCTTTGCAGTCTTAAGGTGGAAAAAATCCTCATATTAGGATTATTCCTTCTTCTCTACTGGATGCCCTGAGTGAATCAGGAGTACATGTTAATACAGTGTGGATTCATAAAATTCCATTTTGGGAAATCATATGTTTTTAGAAAAAAAAAAGAAAGATGAATATATTTATCCGGAAAAGGGAGGTGAAATATCTTGTTTCAGTGAATGAATAAAAAAAAAACATTTTTCCCTACCTCTGCATTTTTAGCATGATTTTGCTTTGTGCTTGGTGAGATATTATTCATTCCTTGCTTTCCAAGTTGGTGATTGAAAGAGTAAAGACATCATCTCAGGACAGGGAAGAGATGTAAGAATCTGATAAAACTGAGTTTTGCTCTTGAGGGCTGGACTAAGGGAAATATGCAGCTGGGAGGTGTAAGGAGAGAGGGACTTTATGCCGAGGAAAATTTAGGAAAAATGCTGTTCTGATGAGCAAAATCAATTCCACAAGTAAACAACTAATGCTGAGATATGTTCTGTTCATTCAAGGGAACACGATAAAGATCCTGAAACTTTCTTTAAAGTGATGCTGCAGCTTAAAGCCAAAGGGCTCCCTTTTCGTGTCTCCGTCCTGGGCGAGTCTTTCAGCGAAGTTCCAGGT